CCGCCCGCCACCGCGGCCGCCGCCCGCGTCCTCCTCGCTGCGCGCCTCTCTCTCGCGGGCCCCCGCGAGGTCGCGACTTGGGCGCTCCCGCAGCCTCGCGCTTCTGCGGAGCCGCCGCCGTCCGTCGGCCGAGTTCGGGTGCGCCCGGCCCGCGCGGCGGCTCTGCGGCTCCGCGCCGCGCTCGCCCAACTCACGCCGGTTTTATATTTAGAAAGAGCTGAGCCATCCTCCCAGCGGCCCCCCCGCCGGGCCCCTCGCGGACCGGGCACGCGGCGGCCTGCACGGGCGGCCTGGCCTAGCCGCCCTGCCGCCCCGACTCGGCCTGCGGCGGCTCCGGCGCGGGGCGGACGCACGGGCCTCTGACCTGAGTCCGAGCCGTTCTCCATGCCGCGGATGCTGCGCTCGGCACCGCACGGTGGGCGCCCAGAAGGGAGGTGTCCGGCGGGCTCGGCCCCGAGAAGCCGCGCGCTGCAGTCCGCGAGGGGCTCGATCGCGCTAGCCCGGGCCGCCCCGGCTGGGGGAGAGCCTCGAGGCGGGGCTGAAGCTCCCTTTCGAAAGGTCTGTGGCTGTCACATTGGCTGGTCCCGACCTGAAGAAACACGCCTGTCCAAAGGAAGAGACGTGGACTCCGAAAAGTAGAGCCGGGTTCGGAGTCGGAGGGAGGAAGCCCCGCCCTGCGCCTCCCGCCGAACTTCTCGGCCCCGGCGCTGACTCAGTCCCGGGCGAGCCCGGGCGCCGCGAACCGCCCCAGACCACGCTCCCTGGACTCCTTTTCTTACTGAAAGGCGGTGATCACGTATAGGTGTCTGATGCTCAAAGAAACGAGGACTACCGAGTGAAGGGAAATCACTAAGCCCTACTAAGTTAAATGTACTAAGATTTTTTTAGAGCTCAAATCCAAGTATATATGCCTCTATGAGCTATTTTTTAAATGTTTTTATTCCGATACCTACGTTCCTTTCGGTAACCCAAGTGATTTGCTTTGAATATGCCAATTTTCACTTTATTCCTTCAGTTTGTCTGTGAGGTGGTGTACGTAAAAAACACTTTCTAAATGGAATTCAAGTTAAGGGGTTGCGTAATTGCTGTGCTTTAAGTAATGATACTGTCGCAACAAATTAGGTACAGGATCAGATACATTTTTCTTTTGTATAAGAGGAAATCAGGATCCTAAATGAGTTAAAACTAAATTTGTTCCTGACAGTGGAAATCTATAAAGCTCTAGTTAATGTCTTGAAAAATGAATGTCATTCCAGATGTAACATAGGCAAGTACAAGGTAAAAACATCCTTATTTCCTTTTTTATTGCTTTTATTTGTAAAAAATTTAAATGGTTCCGAATATCATAAAATTAGAAATGAAAGACCTTCCCCCACTCCCCAGAGAAAAAACTACAGTTAACAGGTACAGTTGAGTGCACATCCTCCAAGGCCTCGTTTCCGCGCACATACTGGTATGTGCAACCCCAAATATGACTAGGATGGGGAGAGAATTTGCAATCACTATGAAGTTCTGCATCAATGTTTTTCCCCCATCAACATTCTTTCGTGTTAATTCAAAAAGCTCTACACCACACTTTTTTTGTTAATGATGTCATAGTACATTAAGTTAACCAATCCCTTTTTTGAAGACTTTTTTTTTTTCCGTTGGGTTTGATGTTGACACAAAATAAATGCACAATCCACTGTTTGCAAAGAATATACACAATACTGAAGTGTATAAAGGAAAGATTGTCCCCTACCTCCCTACCCACCATTCCCTCAATCCTAGAAATAATCCATTAACAGTAGTGCATACAACCTTTTCTGACCATTGCTATGAATATATAAAGTGGCTGCACCAACGGCTGATTTGGGGAGATTTTGACTTCTCATAATCTCAAATAGATCCTTCTACAGCCATCTCCAAAAATATATAAAATCTAAATTTAAAACCAGAAAAAACGAAAATGAGGGGTTTTTTAGGCAATTTTAACTTCCAAACAAAACCAGTTAGCAACTCATAAGTTCCTCCTTTATAAAAATCCCAGAGTCCACCTGTGTGCAAATCACAGATGTGTATACACGGATTTTTGTTTGTTTTGACAAAAATGAAATCATACTACACACAGTGTGTAACCTTATCTTTTCACCAAACTATATCACACGCATCCTTCCATATCAGTAATGATAATAATAGCTAATACCAAGCACTGTTTAAAGTGTTGTACGTGGGTGAATTTATTTAACCCTCACAACACTCTTACAAAGTAGAGATTTTTATGACATGGGATGGTTGAGAAACATATCTAAAATTCCACAAACTGGGAAGTGGTGAGGTGGGGGTTTGAGCCCAGGAAGTGTGGGGCTAGAGCAGGGGTCGGCAAACTTTTGAGACGGAACGTACCCAAAGAGCCGCATGTGGCTGAGCCGCAGTTTGCAGACCCCTGATCTAGAGTCTGCATTCTTAATCACTATGGTCTGGTTAGAGAGCTATCTCATTCTTTTAAATGACTACATGACAAAATTTATTTAAACATTCCCTACGAATGAGCATTATGATTGTCTACAATTTTTTACTACTGCAAACTGCTACTGTAAAGCATGCTTATATCTTTATGAAGTCACATATTTCTATATGTAGACATGGAATTGTCAGGCATAAAAGGATGCCTTTAACATTTCATTATATATACAGTAGTTAATAGCAGCTTACAATGGTGCTTCTAATCACTTATAGTTGCTTTTTTTTATATTTGCTTCTCCCTTCAAACTACTTATAGTTTATTTTTCCCACTAAATATCTTCGTATTCTTACTAGACACTTTGATTTTGAATAGTGGCCTTTGAGATGCTTCCTATCTAGAATATACTTCAACTTTCAAAAAGAGACAAGAAGGAAGTGGGGGAAGGGGTGAACAAGGGACAGAGAAGAGACCAGTGAGAATCCAAAATAAGATTTCACAGAATCCAAGAACTGAAAACGGATGTCTTTTATTCCTTAAAAGTCCCCTCGCCCTTTGTAAGCCCCAGTCACACTAAGTGTATGCACAGTTCTAATAAGGTAAATTATTATTATGGGAATCTTATTCCCATAGTCAAAGCAGGTTAGAAACAGAATGTCAGAGAGCACTCTTCCGGGCAGGTACATGGATGAGAGAAGTGCTAATGGACACTCCAAAAACGGGAAGAAACAGGAACTGTGAAAACAAGCTATAAGAACTCAAAAAGCAAAACATTCTGAGGTTGTTTATAAAGTAGTAAAAGCACTACCCACCCCCTAGGCCCTGAAATTAATTCACTTGAATAACTGATGTTCATGGTGTGAATCCTAACATCAAGAAATAGTAAAATTATGTCTAGTATATCAGTATGGAACAAGGAAGTATGGAGTATATTTTACCAAAATTTTCATCTAAAATGATTATAATAAGCAATTTTAGGTGCCAAAAAGGATTAATTCTAAACTATCTCAAAACCCCAGCTATCCCAAATGATTCAATTATCCATTTCCAAAATGCTCCAGACAAGCCAAAATTCTATATAAATAAGCCTCATATGGTGTTCATTTTGGTTGCTGAAAGAGTCGGGAACTGGGTCCAATCTGCCAACAGAGTCCACAGCTCTAATGATCTTCATCTCGGCTCTTTTCAGTCAGTTATTGATTAAACACATACTTCACTGCACATTAAATCATGTTATGACTCAAAACATTCTGCTTTTTAAAAATCAAACTCGGAAACATCGATCTCTAACCACCATATAGAACCCTTCCACTGTTTTAGAGTACATCTTAGAGCCTCATCATCGCCTCAAACATTTCTCCTGCTTTCTGGTCTGTGCGTACTCCCCTAAGTAGTACTTGCTCCATTCTTAGCCTAAACCCCAAAGATGGCAATGCATTGTTAACAGCACCTTCTTTCCTTGGTTTCTATCTTACAGACAGTGCCAGTCAATTCCCAACCTTGGGCAAACCCCATCATTCACTTTATTTTTCCCTCCCAAATATCACAGGGAAAAAAGTAAACAGCTGACCTGGGCCTGCATATTACTTATACCTTGCATTTCAGAGGATGAGGTAACCTTCCCTCTAGGGATAAGATACACCCAAAGATCCTATCTCCTCTGATTTTATGAATTTATTTATTTATTTAAAGACATTTTATTGGGGAACAGTGTGTTTTTCCAGGACCCATCAGCTCCAAGTCAAGTAGTTGTCTTCAACCTAGTTGTGGGGGGTGCAGCTCCTTGGCCCACATGGGAATCTAACCAGTAACCTTGGTGTTATGAGCCTGTGCTCTAATCGGCTGAGCTAACTGGCAGCCCCCTCCCCTGATTTCCTTTAGACAGCAACTTCAAAGCTTTTTGTTCACATCGCCACTCCCCCCACCCTACCCCCACGCCACAAAAAAACTTTTGAAAAACAATGTAATCCATTCACACATTTTTAAGTTGGCATCCAAAATTTTCCCTCATGACTTATATAATTGAAAAGCAAGCTTGACAACAAATTCTATTGTAAAAATTAGCATTTGAAAATGGAGGCCCTTCTATCACTTACTAAAAAATGTGTATTGATCTAAATAAGGTTTTTTTCTAGATAAGATAGTGATTTGATGCCTACCATCATCTATTTTAAAAATACATAAATAAGTCTTAATAGTCAGAAATTTTACATAATCGCATTTTCTCCTTGAACTTGTATTTCAGTTTTACTTCCCCCACAATAACTATACTAATATAATATAGTTTCCACCTTGAAAGTCTTACTGTTCACTTCATCATCCTTTTCTTCAAAATATATGTGTATAAATTAACATAAAATTTTTTCTATGGTCATTTAAAAATTATTATGATTGAGTAATCAGAATTAATACTAGTACACAATTTATCAAAACAACATAAATATATTACAACCTTTTTTTTGTTTTTGTTTTTGTTTTTGTTTCGTTTTAAAGATTTTATTGGGGAATTGGGGAAGGGGACCAGCCAAGTTGTTCTTCAATCTTGTTGTGAAGGGCGTCAGTTGTCATCTAGCTTCCCGTCAGCAGCTGGTGGACTCTAAGCTCAAGGTGCTGTGTTCAGTCTTAGTTGCGGGTGGGCGTAGCCACCATCAAACAGGCAAACTTGTTGTTACACCAGCTGAGCCATCCTACCACCTGTTGGCAGCTTAGCAACAGCTCAGCTCGGGTGCAGCATCACTGGCCCATGTGGGAATCGAACTGGCAGTCCTGTTGCTCAGAGCTTGCGCTCTTAAGCCAACTCTTAACCAACTGAGCCACTCGGCTGGCCCATATTACAACTTTTTAAAGGCTTTAGCAGTTAGCATATTTTTTTATGTTATAACTTTTGTTTTTTGTTTTTGTTTTTTTTTAAGTAGGGTGCAGCTCACAGTGGCCCATGCAGGGATCAAACCAGCAACCCTGGTGTAATTAGCACCAACTGAGCTAACCAGCCACCCCAAAGTTATCACTTTTGAGAATTATTAACACAAAAAGTAAAATTTTATTGGAAATGTATCTCTTAATGAAAAGGACAGGGACTTTTTGGGAAAAAAAAGAAAAGATAATCCATCATTATCATTCACTTTCTTGTTACCTAATTTAATATATCAAATTCTCTCTGTCTTGGAGTTCTTCCTCTGGGGACAATCGACCACAGTTAAACTGGAGATGGCTGAGAGGTACGGCTTGCTTTTGTAAAGTGAGAGAAGGGCCATTGTGAAATAGGACACCACGACTTTAGAGACATTCTTAGCCAAGGCAATTTTAAAAAAGGATACGTATGATCCAGAGAGCACAGGATCGAGAGATTGATTCTCTTAATACTCTTTTTTTTTTTAAGATTTTTATTGGGGAATTGGGGGGATGGGAACAGTGCTGGGGAATTGGGGGAAGGGGAAC